GCCTCCCGGGCTCACGCCATTCTCCTGCCTCAGCCTCCTGAGTAGCTGGGACTACAGGCACCCACCACCACGCCCGGCTAATTTTTTGTATTTTTAGTAGAGACAGGGTTTCACCGTGTTTGCCAGGATGGTCTTGATCTCCTGACCTTGTGATCCACCCGCCTCGGCCTCCGAAAGTGCTGGGATTACAGGCGTGAGCCACCACACCCGGCCAGTTCTGCCTAACGCTTCTTAAGTTCAGGACTCATTTTTCTGTCTTCACATGTGTACAGGGTTCTATAAATTTGGGAAAGTGTTTAAATACTGTATGTTAACCACCTTCCATAATATCCTAATCACACTTCTTTACTGTTTCACAGTGTGGGCTTGAGAACTGATGAGCAGATTCTGAGGAAGCGGATGGGGCAGTGATGCCTCTAGAACAGGGAACTGTCCAGCAGATGTTACAGATTGGAATACATGGGCTCATGTATACATGAACAAGCCCTGAGGATGCTGCTAGACTCTGTGTGCACACATCCTAGCGCACGCACAGGGCATGTCAGTGAGGGCGGCGTTCCCTGTCTCCTCTCGAGGACTTGCCAGTCCCTTGATTAGATAATTAATACTAATCTGATTAATGCCATCCCTTTGTGGTGAAAGATTCATCTGTAGCTTTTTGCTTTTGATAGGTTTTTGAGTGTGTACAGTATTTTGTACCCTTGTATATGAAAAGATTTAATTGAAGGACATACTATCATTCTAAATCTTTTTTTTTTTTTCTATTTCTGGCATAGATTTGAGAGTAGACTTCTCGATGAAGGATATATTGCACTTGGACTGTTAAAACTCCATGAAGTTTACCCTCTAAGAGAGAGCACAAGACAGAGATGTCTGCTTTCATTATCTTAGTCATCTTATATTTTTATTTGTAATACTCAAGGTTCTAGCTAGCACTACAAGGCAAAAAATAAAGACAAAATGGAAGGAAATCAATAAAACAATCCAGATGGCCTGATTGTCTACATAGAAAATCCCCTGGCATCTTCAAAAAATTGTTAGAACTAATAATTTCAGCAAAGTCTCAAGATATCACATAAACATACAAAAATCAATCACATTTGTATGTACTAACAATGAACATTTGGAAAATGAAATTAAAAACATAAAAAGGAACCTCAACCTAAAACTCACATCTTATTCAAAATTTAACTTAAAATGGATGATATTAGCTGGGCACACTGGTATGCATGAGTGGTCTGAGTTAGGAGGCTGAGGTGGGAGGATCACTTGAGCCTAGAAGGTCGAGGCTGCAGTGAGCCATGATTGTGCCACTGACTCCAGCCTGGGCAACAGAGCAAGACCTATCTCAAAACAAAAATGGAGCATAGACTTAAATGGAAAATATGAAACTATAAAAACCTTTAGAAAAAATGGGAGAAACTGTTCATAATCTGGGGCTTGACAAGGTTCTTAGACTTGACACCAGAAGTATGGAACAAAAGTTGATCAGTTGGATCTCATGAACATTAAAAATTTTTGTTCTTTAAAAACTCAGATATCATGGACTTAATGCTTGTGTCCCTCCAAAATTCATATGTTGAAATTCTCATTCCCAGTATGTGATTATTTAATAGAGGCGGGGCCTTTGGGAGGTTGTTAGGTCATGAGGGTAGAATCCACGTGATGGGATTAGTACGCTTTTAAAAGAGGCACTGGAGAGCTCCCCTGCCCTCTTTTCACTAAGCAAGGACACAGTGAGACATTAGCCATCTTCAACCAGGAAGCAGGCCCTTACCAAAATCCAACAGGCTGAGTAGTATTCTACCATATGGATGTACCACATGGTTTAATCCTCAACAACTGAAGAATATCTGGGTTTTTGGTATTGCAGTTTTCCAGTTTGGGGCTATTACAAATAAAGCTGTTGTGAACCTTTGTGTATAGGTTTTTGTGTGAACATAAGTTTTTGTTTCTC